GCAACCCCTGAGAATTTTGATATGGCTGTGGAAGTGAGTTTTGGCAATGACCTTGTCAAACACCAGGAGTGATAACGAAATTAATGATGGTGAACGAGAAGAAAGATTAGAATGGAAATCCTTTTGGAGAGAGGAGCAGAACTTCTGGTTCTAAACACTAACCAAAAAGCAAAGAACAGTGGATGGTGGAAATCTGAAACAAAAATAGAAACAGTTGGAGAAACGCAGTGGATCTGGCAGTATCTGTGGAAAGAAAGTCTTCTCCAGCTATTTCTAGTTGTGTAATGTTCTGGGGACATGGGGGTTCAAATCCAATTATGACAAATCAATAAAAATCTGGAATCTGGCAAGCATGTAATCACTCTTGATTTTCATAAAAACCCATTTGGTCCTTCAGTGTTCTTTAGGCTGGAAATCTGCCATCCTTTCCTTGTCTGACTTACCTGTGACTCCACAGTGATGTAGCTGACTCCTCATTACCCTCTGAAATAAGTCAGCAAGGCACTTAATTCCATGTCAGTGATGGATGGGCAATAAATGCTGGCCTTGCCAGTTATGCCCAGATCCCATGATGAATTTTAAAAAGCACAATAAAACTTCATTATTTCAGTTTCAGTCGTTAGATACTACGTTGCTTTTACTGCAATGAGTGATTATATAGGGATGGGCCCTTTCAAGCTCAGTTGACTATCACTTTGACAAGTATTGTGTAAATGTTGAAATGTGTTGGAGCACTTTTTACATTGGGAAATGTCTGTTGTGCATTCAAAACTGAGGGAAACACTGCATGGAAACTCTTAAGTGTAAATCTCTCCAGCCGATAAAATCGAGCAAAAGATGGTCTGCGCCTGTCACTTAAAGGAAAAAAAACGTCATCTGCTCCTTGAGTAAGATGCTTGATAGACCATTTTTAGAGCAAAAAAAAGTAGCTACCCATTTTTTGCAATTTCAAAATGATTCTTTATTGGGAGCTTAATGGTTTGTTTTGAAATCTGTAGCTATGACAAGTACTTTGCTAAGTTTCCACAGCTCCAGGACCTCTTACCTCAGTAGCAGCAAATGAGATTGACAATTTTAAGAGACTATTAAAGGATTTAAGGGTCTTTAATGAAATAGATTTTTTGTTTATTGTTACACAGGTTAGCCACTCAAGGCGGATTTATTATTTGAACAGCTTTTATGAAATATCTTTTTTTAGCATGAACTGTGTTTGAGTGACAAATATATTAAATTATTATGGGCTTAATTTTTAACTTCTTTTTTCAAATACATGGCTTTTCAGGTCTCCTCATACTGGGTGTTAGCTGAATGACTATGAGAGACATATTGATATGAGAAGGTATGGAGGATCAGGGAGAATTTGAGGCATCAAGTGTAGGATATGAGGAAATATGGAGCATCATGGGTGCATGGGAAGTAAGGAGTATGAGGACACATGGAACTGGATGAAGGGGCATGTGGGCTGGAAGTTGGGCATTGACATTTGAGAGATGAATTTTCATCATTGAAACTAGACTGATGTCCCAATAAATGGAGACAGGTTTCAACCTGTTAGCCATGCCATTTGCTCATCTCCATTGCTGCTTTGGCTTGCCATCGGAGGCACTGGAGTTAATTCTATTCCATCCATAACTTCCTGGAACAAAACAACACAGTGTGGCAGCAGGCCATTCAACCCGGAGTCCACACCAACTCTCCAAAGAACAGACCCAACCCCTACCCTGTCCCTGGGACCCTGCATTTCCCATTGCTAATCCACCTAGCCTACACATCCCTGGACACTATGGGCAATTTAGCATGGCCAATCCACCTAATCTGCACATTTTTAGACTATCGGAGGAAACCCAGACAGGCACAGGGAGAATGTGCAAACTCCACACAGACAATCGCCTGAGGGTGGAATTGAACTCAGGTTTCTGGCGCTGTGAGGCAGCAGTGCTAACCACTGAGCCACCACGTCACCCCATATGGTGGGCAGAATTATTTTTAAAAGGGGATGCATCTGTCAAATTCAGAAGTTTATCATTTTCCTCCTCTTTGATAAAAATCCAGCCCATTGTGTTTGGAAAATGTAAAAGGTTGAGTAGCATGTGGGATAGTAGATACAGAGAAACTTCTTTCATTGTTGAAGGAATCTAGGACAAAGGGACATGGTCTATAAATCAGACCCAAGCCATTTAGGTGAGTAGTTAGGAAACACTCTTCATATAAAGAGTGGTAGAAAAGTAGAACTTTGGAAAAAGCAGTATATCCTAGTTTATTTAATAACTTTAAATTTGAGATAGTTTTTTTTGTAAACCAAGGGGAATCATAAGGCACAGGTCACCCATGAATTCAGCAACAAGACGAACATGTAGTTATAAATCACCTTTAACATAGTAATATTTCCCAACGTTGTCATTGAATGTGAGAACAAGCTTCCAGGGATGAATGATACCCCACTGCTCTCTTGTTATCTCCTGTGTCCCAAGGGTGACAGCTATGCATCAATAGAAGTTGAAAGCTAGAAAGACATGTCCCTCATTCTGTGAGATTTTATTTGCTTTTTAAAAATAAATGATGACTTAAATGTTAATATTTTAAAAGTTGTGCTTTTGTGTTGTGAAGACCTGTCAGGCAAATGATATTATCAGTGAGATGCTGTACCCATGAATAGCAAAACAAGTTGTCCTGTTTCCTAAAAACCGAAAGAACTGCGAATGCTGTAAATCATGAACAAAAACAAAGTTGCTGAAGCTCAGCAGGTCTGGCAGTGTCTGTGAAGGAAAAAATAGAGTTACTGTTTCGGGTCCGGTGACCTTTCCTCAGAACTGTTCTGAGACTTCTAAGGAAGGATCACCGGACCCGAAACTCTGTTTTTCTCTTCACAGATGCTGCCAGACCTGCTGAGCTCCAGCAACTTTGTTTTTGTCCTGTTTTCTGTCTGTTGACAAGAAAGTGAGGAAATTGTTGATAATGAATGGTTCATTTTAGAATAGAATTTAAAAGCAATATTTATTATTAAACACTGACAGCTAATTGTTTCTCAGTTTTGGATGTATTTGTCTGGGATTTTGGCCTTTAAAATTCAGTGTTGGCATTTTCACCTAATAAATGTGGTACTTCAGATGCTATTGATAATTTGTAGGTCTACCTCTATCATTTGTCACCACCTAATTTCAGTATGGGTATCCTTCTTTGAATAGTCCGCTTGCTGCCTCTGAGCAGTCCTCATGCCCTCTGACATGGTCCTATTTGTACGATTTACCCTTTCCAACCCGTGACTCTACTGTGACTATGGGATAGATTACATCATGAAAAATTGAAAATGTAGAAGTGCTAATGTATTGTAATTTTGTTCCTGTGTAAGTTTATTTGTGCAATGAACATGAGATGTGTTGCTTTGCATCTGTGATTTGCATTTACTGTCTTATCTTAAACGATATATGTACCCTGGGTGGTGGAGTGCAAACTAAAGGGCATAGGTTTAAGGTGAGAGGAAAAAGATTTAAAAGGCACCGAACGGGCAACTTTTTCTCACAGAGGGTGGTACGTGCATGGAATGAGCTGTCAGAGGAAGTAGTGGAGGCTGGTACAATTACAACATTTAAAGGGCATCTGGATGGATATATGAATAGGAAGGGTTTAGAGGGATATGGGCAAAGTGCTGGCAAATAGGACTAGATTTATTTCGGATATCTGGTCGGCATGCATGAATTGGACCAAAGAGTCCATTTCTGTGCCTTACATCTCTATGACTCTATGCCTGTATGACGTGATATGCGCATGCACTTCTTGGAAAATCAGTCAAAATGATGAAATGAATCAAAGAAATCTTCAGGTGCATATTAAAAAATATTAAATTAACAACACATGTAAAGGCCCTAAAATGCAATTGGTTCATTTTAGAATAGAATTTAAAAGCAGGACAATTATGTTTAACTTTTATAGAACTGGGATTCAATTTGTGGTCTAAACTGATGTGTAAGGAGTGACTCCTTTCTCTTAGTACCACATAGAGTAGTTGAGGTGGTTGGAATAAATGCTTTCAAGGGGAAACTAGGAATAGGAGTCTGCAATAGAGGGGGATGCAGATAAGAGGAGATGAAGTAGGTTACGACGTGGCTTGTTCATGTGGAACATGAGCAGAACTGATCTGTTGGACTGAATGGCTTATAAACTCAATGTGTATTATTTAGCAGATACATTGAAAGTTTGGTATGTATTGTGCAAAGTTTGCCTGCTTCTTTGTGGGAAGTATCTACATGAGGCATTCTTTATTTCACTTCCCAGTTATATTTTAAAGCTGCGTTATTGAGAGATGGGCAGAAACAGCAAGCTTGCTGAATGTAGTTTATTGAACTAGTAGTTTGTTTGTGAGGAAAGCTGCCAGCAACCCAGCTAAGAATTTACACTGGGTTATTCCTGTGATCTGAAACAGCAAGTCTTCCTTCATCTGAAGTTGTTTAATTTACTTCAGTTTGGGGGAGAAAAGTCTTTAATTAATAGTAATTATTGAGAATATCCTATGACCAGAACACTGATCTTGTCGCTGGTAAAAGTTCATTTTTATTCAGTTGCTGCTCAGAAGTGTCAGCAGTCCACATGAAGCGGTGGGCTGCTGTGGATGAATGTTCATACAGTCTGTGAGCGGCCGATAAGTTTCCTGTGTTTGTTGCAGGTTGTCACCTGGGGATTAAATTTGCTTTCAAGTGCCCCCTTTCAGGACTGCACAGCAGACCATGCTATGTTTTCAGATCTTGGCAGGGGAGGTTATGGTGACTCGGATCATTTCTGAAGTGTGCAGAGGGCTGTGTTTCGCGATTGCAGTGTGCTAACCTCTCTAATCAATAGCAAACACAGCATTCTAATATCGTAACCCAGGCAACGGGCACACACTGCTTGCTGATAGGCCAGCCTGGAGAGGAGCACTGGATTGGTGGATTGCAGAAGGTGGCTCTGAAGTGGTGGGGTTTTAATGTTGATTTGTTCTAAATAGGGGAGCAATAGGATAGCCGGTACGTCTCTGACACTGCACTGCAGCTTCGGATCTTCATAACGCTGTGGCTGAAAGAGCAGCATGTCTATTGATGGATGGGAGGCTGCTTGAATAAAAAGGCTGATCTGATGCACACTAGCTGGCTGTGAGGAACCTGCTGTGTCGTTGAGGCAGATTCAAATACACACTCCACTAGCCAGGCTCACTGTCTCTATAGAAACTGTAGATTGCTGTCCTTTGTGTTACCAACTGGGGGGGAAAAATCACCCTGGAGTTGTGTGCTTGATGTATGACAGATTTGTGTTGATGATGGGATCGGTGGATGCTGGCAGCTGATCCAGGAGCTGTGAGCAGCGTTTTCACTTGCAGAGCCCGGGATGGAAGCACAAACAGAGGAGGAGAGGCGGTCAGCATCGCAACATCCCTTTGTGACTGGAGAGGGGGCACCAGGACATCGCTCATTGTGTCAGAACATGAACGGATGGGAAATGGAGGCTTTCCAGCAGGTAAGAGCGGTGTATGGCCAAAGCTGGACTGCAGATGTGACTGACAGACAGGTTCACGTCACATGGTTGCTGTAGGGTTTGAACTGTTGTGTGTGTCCCAGCTGCAGAGGACTGCGCAAAGCTTGTATGAAGCAGGCACTGAGGACAAATTCAGCTCAAAGTGACCGCTTCCCGTTCCTGGACTCCAGGAGCGAACTGTTTGACGTCTATAAACAGGAAACCATTGCAGAAGTGTGACAATATCATTGGATCGTTATTTTAAAGTGGGAATGCCGTGGTTCTCCAATAAACATTACAGCTGCCTGTGTAGATCACTGCTGACCTTTTACAGCAGTGTTGAATCACAATTTCTGCCAATGACTACAGTAGAAACAAACGGAAGGGTATTAAATGGTGTAAAGTATGCGCTAAAACAGTCTGCGGCGTGTTAGTGAAGACAGGCCAACAGTTTTAGGTTAACACAGTAACTATCCAATGTGTGCATTTCTGACTTTGATCATTTTGTGATTATTGAGTGCTTTTGCTTTTTTTTGCCCAATGCTGATGACGTTGATTCAGACAGGTCATAGTTTTCACCTATTCCCGCTAAAGAATGCTGCCTCATTTCGATAGAAAAGCACCGGGCAGCGATACCGAGTCCACAAACATCCGACAGTGTGGCGACAAAGTGATGTCATTTTAAAAGATGATGCTGTAATTTGAATAGTCATTGCAGCTCAGAATGGATTGCAGAGGAATTAAGAAAACAACCTGAACTGCCCTTAAAACCTTACTAATGCAGGAGAAACGTCCAGAGGAATAACATTGCGCAGCATGTTAATCAATTAACTGTATGTCACAATTCACTATGAAAACTGTAATGTCGGGAAATCTGGTATCATTCTGAAGATTTTAGTATGTGCGGTATCTATGTATATATTATACAGAAATACATATTATCTGTGCTTGATCTTAGTTAATGAAGAATAAATTTGATGGATCTATAAATGATCATTTTACAATATCATCCTTCAGAGTGGAGGTAATAAATAGAACGTTCCAGTCACTGCTTAGTTCCTAATGATATACCAAGTGTATTCAAGACTATGGGCCAAAGGCAGGTATATGAAGTTAGGTCCTAGATCAGTCATGATCTCATTGAATGGTGAAATCAGGCCTGTGTGGCTGAATTCTCTGTCTGCCTTGGTATATCCCTAAAAGAAGAAATATCAAAGAGAATTAAAACAGAACTATCCTCTACAATCTCTCTGTATTTGTGAAGCTTGCTATTATACACTGGAGCTTCCTTTCTACATTAATTTCATGACAGCATCTGAACTCCTTAATTACAGCATTGAGATAATCAGAAATTTTCTGTATACTACTGATACTGTACTTGTACTGAATTATATGTAGATATAATTATATTATTTGTCTGTTAGGGTTTGTCCTTTTTTTTGAAGCAGTAACCTTATATGGTGATTAAGCATCGTCCAGTTCTTTGAACCGTGCAACCAGAAATGGAAAGAGTTCCAGCATGGTACTTAGCTGAACTAGGACTGCTGAATGCCAAAGTAGGGTTCAATGATTGTTACCCCCATTTCAGAATAAAGCTTCAAGCCTACAGTGACGAATTGAAATTTCTGGCCTAGTCTCTCCGGTTGCATCAGCATTCCCTGTCATATCTTGCAGTCTCCTGTATTTGCAGTGCGCTGCAGTTGTATGCTTTATTGCATACATTATGCAGCTTCCTAAACAAGGCAATGATGATTGGATTTATGAGTGGTGACGGGCCTTTTCTCTGTGTCTGGTGAAAGCACTCTCTGGGGAAATGTGTATACTGTATCTGTTTCTGCTGAATGAAATGAGGTAACTTGAGCTGGCTTAAGAGTGCTGAGAGGAAACATTGTGATACAGTTATTGGTCTGAATTGTGTAATGCCGTTGAGGGGCGTATGTGTGTACTTGTATGGAAGCATGTGTATTAGAGTATGTGTATTCCTGTGTGGTTTGATGCTACCAGTCTTTATTTACAACCCATGAACGAATGATTTACATCCAAATATGCATTCATTCATGGCAGCATAGGTCTCTATTGTATTAACTTTAAGTAGTATCCTTTCAAAGGAGATCTCATCTTCAATTCCTCAGGTGCTGAATGAGATTACTGTTACGCATTTGTCATGTATCTAATAAAGTAGGGTAGTAGGTTAAATCTATATGATATTCTCTTTAAGTGAGGGTTATTACTTAATGGTTTGAATTCCTGTGCTGTATGGTCATACAGGTGAGTTTGTTTACAGGTTACTTTGGATATGTGTGTTTAGGTTACTCTAATGAGCTTTACATCAATAAAAATTGAAGGTTGATAAACACTTATATTTGAAGGTGTTATGCAACTGAGCACGTATCTATGTATTAAAGTCTTGTATTTATGTCCAACTTCTGTCAGCTGTTTCCACAATCAATTCCCACATCTGCGTCTATAATGCATGTGTGAACGTGGTTTCACAATAATTGTATTCTGCCACCAATGGAGATTTTATAGTGTCACTATTGGCTGACGATTGTAATTACAGCATATCAAGTTTTCATAACCAGTTTCTGTTATCAGCTGGACGTATGAATTTATTAAATAAAATTACATAGAAATTATAGAACATAAACTGTCCAGTTGTCTGAGTTGTTGTTTATGCTTAGTGTGATCTCTCATTCTCCCTTATTTAATGCTTTCAATCTCTCCTATCCAGCCTATCATGACAATTATAACCTCTCAGTTCTGCTATCATTCTTGTACATCTATTTACGCCTTTTCCAGGTTTTCAATTTTGTTGGTTATATAGAGATCAGAGCTGTACAAGTATTGTTTTCAATCTTTTTTGGTAAGGGATCTTAAAATGTATTGTGAAAATCTGTGGAACACCCCCCTTCCCCCCCCACTGCCGTATACAATATTAGATAACAAAAATGAAAACAAATTAAAACAGGTTTGAATTTCCATTAAGTGAATGAACAGTATTTTGATTTTTGAAAAAAAGATTGGTATAATTTTCAAATGAGTATTTCTAAGGGGTTCCACACAATTTTCCAGTCATTTGGTGGAGAAGCCTTTAAGGGGACTGTGGGTGGAAAAACACTGCTTTACGCAGTGCTCCAACTTTGATCTGACAAAATCAATTTGAATGTTATTTTATTGTGTTTCAATTCTATTCCTATAAATTGAAAACAAGTGTTTTTTCTTATATATTTTATGGCTTTTTTAACAATTGTTGCCATTTTCAATGATTTGCAAATGTGGACTCCAAGAGTTCATTGCTTCTCCATATTTAGATTTATTTTTCCAGAAGTATGTGGCTTCCTTAATTCTCCAATCAAATTATGTCACTTCACACTTGTCCTGATTAAAATGTATTTGCCATTTACACATCCATTCTGCAAGTTGTTTGAAGTTCTCTTCTGTGTTAAATTTGCCCCTAATTTGGTGTAACCCATAAATTTTGAAGCTGGACTTCCAATTCCCAAATTCAGGTGAGAAGCTTCAATTCTGGCATTATTCCTCGTGAAACACAACTTCCACCTTCTGCCATGCCCAGCTCCACCCCACCCCAAGCCCAACTTTTTTTAAGCACATAATAATATAAACATCTTGTTCTCCATACTTTCTTCGGAGACAACTTTTTTCATATTTTATGCTTTGGTGAAACTTTCCTACTCACTTTGCCTCCGTTCTTGAACCACTGATATGAATGTCTCCTTTACCATATTTTCCTCGTAGTGCCTTCTACACAACTGAGTTTGCCTCCCTTTCAACATCTGTATGATGCCTGTCTGCAAGACTGACCTCTGCAAAGTCACTTTCTCCCTTCTTTGCAAAACTCCTCCCCACTGATAATTTAATTTAATTTTCATTTTCTTTCTCTTTCTGCAATAAATTTTGTGTTGTCTTGCTGCAGATGTAAATGTTTGTATTGAAGTTGCAAAATTTTATTTTAGAGTGCCAGTCATGACCAGCAGCTAGGGTGCTAAAGCATACACAAACAATGATGCAGCTTGCCCCAAATCAGAAATGGGTGATACAGAAACGATGCACAAGATAATGTATTTAAGCAATGGGAAAAGCCATTGTCATATTATCTGATGGTCCCAAGTCACATCAAGTCACCCCATAAACATTTTTAGCAGAATACGTATATATTCTTCACAGAATACCAAATTTCTGCATTGCAATTACTGTACAGGAACACAGCTATTAGTATACAGGAAGTCATTGAGCTGTGGCATTTGCCCACTTAATACCATTAAGTTGTAACTGATAATGAAAACATATATAAACTATGCTCATTTGAACCTTGGTGGAGAAGTGCCTGGACTGTCCAGTGTTGGTTCCCTAGATGCACAATAAAGACACCACTTGATTGTTGTGACTGGATTCTGAGTGTTGAAACTTTAAAACAGTATTTCTTGGACCTTTCAGAGTGGTACTTTTCTCTTCAGTGACAATACTCATTAAATCTTAATGATTTTTTGAAGAGATTGTGGGAGGATATTGTTGAAAGATGCTGTGTTAAAAGTGATAATCCAACATGACTTTTAATAGCCTAGAAGTTGATGAGTTCTTGGGCTCTGGTAGTTGTGGTATGGTTTGATTTCATTGCACATGGCCATAGCACTACCACAGGAATCAGAGCAAACCCCTGGAGTCACAAGAAGACTTATGTTTTATTTTCCACATTCTGAAAACAAAACATAACTAACTTTTCAATTAGTTTTTTTAAACGATGTGGAAAGTGTGTCAATCAGAAAAAAAAAGGAAAGAACAGAATACCACCTTGGCTGAGCAATGTTGCCAAAATTAATTAAGAAGCACGAATAGCTAGAAGGCTGAATGAAGGGATGAAAAACTACAACTCAAGTACCACGCAATTTTTGTAAAATATTCAGAGAAGCAAAATTAATGAGAGCATGAAAACGAGATGACAGACAAAGTCAGTTGAGGATAAATGAAATGACAGTGAAAAAACT